CTCGCGGTCGTGATCAGGTCCCTCTCGAAACGTTCGTCCCCCTCGAGATTCACCACGTATGCTCTTTCAACAATTCGTATATTGTTGGAAGACCTACGTATTGCACAAAATCTCGAGCCCTGTCTTAAGTAAGTTTCAGGCATCGGCAGGACCGCCGAAGAAAGAAAAGGCTCTCGATGAGCTGAAGAGGCCCTGACAAATTGTTTCAAGAGTGGGCTACAACAAATGGCTTTTCATCTTCATCCTCGGATGAGAATGGAAAGTCATTCCTCTTACTACTTTGTCACTTAACTCGTCTGTAGTTGTAGTTAGTTTATTTTTCTGGCTGGCTCACGTATGCATGTACCTGATGGTACATGATTGCACCATACATGCCAGCCATCCCTCCCCATAACTCGCGGTTATGATGTACATAGAGTTGCGAATATGCAATTACCGCGTTTGCTTGTAGAGTTGCGAATCACTGTTTTTCGCGTTTCCTTTTCAGGGTAGTGTTGCGCCTTGACACGATACGCGATTGGTTTTTTGCAAACTTAGGTACCGAATGTTTGCTTAAAAATAGCGTTGCGAATTATCGATAAACGCGATTGCTCGTAGGGTTGCGAAATACTATTTTTCGCGTTTGCTTTTCAGGGTAGTGTTGCGAACAATCACGATTCGCGTTGCTTTTTTACTCTTTTATATATATAATGGACATCAACCGCGTTTGCAATTTTCATACTATAAATTAGCGTTGCGATCTTGATCAATCGTGCGATTTTTTATTTAGCGTTGCGATATTTTCAATGCCCAAATTCTACCCCGATTGTAGTACTAGTAGTAGTTAGTTTATTTTGTGGCCAGTACATGTCTATGTACATGTACCAATAGCCCCTGATTAAAGTTAGAGTTGCGAATAATATACAATGTTCGCGTTTGCTCGTAGAGTTGCGAACAAATATTTATCGCGTTGATGTGTTAGTGTTGCGACTAAACACGATTCGCGATTGTTTTTGTGCAAACCTAGGAACCGGGCGTTTGCTTTAAAAATAGCGTTACGAATTTTTAGTAAACGCGATTGCGAATTAGAGTTGCGAATCACTATTTTTCGCGTTTGCTTTTCAGGGTAGTGTCGCGAATAATTACCAGTCGCGGTTGCTTTTATTCTTACAAGTCGCGTTTGGAATTTTTCTATTATAAATTAGCGTTGCGATTGTTGATTTATCGCGTTGTTGCCCCGTAGTGTTGCGATATTTATAAAACGTCTAACTTCATCCCCATATGTGCCACTCTATTGTAGTTTGAAGTAGCTTGATGTAGTTAGTTTATTTCGTGCATGTATGTTTGTAGCTACAACCGAAGACACCAGCACCTGATCCAGCGTTGTTGGGCTACGCGATTTGCATTAGCGTTGCGAAACATGAATATATTTCCACTAAAAATAGAGTTGCGAACATACAATAATCGCGTTTGCTCGTAGAGTTGCGAATTCCTATTTTTCGCGTTTCCTTTTCAGGGTAGCGTTGCGAATTCCATACGCGATTGCTTTTATCGTTATTTAAGAATAGCATTGCGAATTAACTGATCGGTTTGCTCTTAGCGTTGCGAATTACTATTTTTCGCGTTTACTTTTCAGGGTAGTGTTGCGAATAATCACCATTCGCGGTTGCTTTTACTGTTATAAATCGCGTTTGGAATTTTTCTATTATAAATTAGCGTTGCGATCTTTACTTGTCGCGTTTTTTATTAATTAGAGTTGCGATTCAATGCCCAAAACGCTGGCCACTGCACCAGGATCATCGAGAAGCAACCTGGGATTCTGCAAAGCCTCGAATGGCTCAACGTCATTATTAAAATTAGTGTTGCGCATGATTGAATATGGGTGCACGCGATTTAATTAATAAAGGAACCCTGTATGGCTCATTTTACGAATAACAAGCACCATTCGCGTATTGTTTTTTATTTTATAAATTAGCGTTGCGAAAGAATGGTCCACTCGCGGGTTGTTTGAATTTAAGACGAGTGGACGTTTATCTATATTTATATATTTGTCAAAAGAAATACTGCTTCAAAGTACCGTTGTAAACAGACCAATTGTTTTATTCTTTCTAACGTGTTAAAATCTGTAATTTATGTGAATGTAGTTTTATCACAGATTTGTGATGCATTTAAAAATGCTGTATTATGATTAATTTTATGATTCCAATATGTATATCTATATCACTAATTATTCATTATTAGAGTTGGTAATTTTTACGGGATATAATAACGTTTGCAAACCAATTGTTATTTATAAATAGTGAATTTTTTATAAATATTCTGTATTCTTTGCATAAATCAAAGTTTGTTCGCGATCATTGTTTTAATTGATGGAAAATAGAATGTTTGCATCAAAAGGATATGCAAATTGCAATTCGATATTTCATATTGAGAGTTAATTTCCGCGTAGAGTCGACATTTTCGTTCATTATTGCTTTTTCTGTATGAACTTAATTTAGTTTGCAATACAGTAAAATATAATTATTGCAATGTATACGTCTTGACAAATTTTTTATTTGATAAACGAAACGAAAAATAAAATTTACGATTATAAATGAATAAAATTTTCGATCTATTTCGTATTTATCTTAACACTGAGACGAATTTAATTTTTCATTCAATTTCACGTACTATTTACGTTTTTAAACTTTTTAATATCAATTTTTACTCGTGGAAGCTTTAGTTAAACTATTAATTTCATAATATCATTTTTACTACGATCGATTTTTCTGTGTTCATTAATACACTTTCATTTCAGCTATTAATCCTCTGAACAAGTTCTTGTTACAGAATATATAATCATCGAAGAATAGAATTGGAAATGGTACACGGATTTCATCTTGATCGTTCTTAGAGAAATATTTTATACGATTCTATTTATTGTCTGAGTTTATGTTTCAGGGGAACATCGTGGGATTAATCAAGACACCAAGAAGAAATATTTTTTCGTATTTATTTGTTTTATAGGAGTTATATATTTTATTGGATATGAGTTTTTGTTTCAGGAAAACATCGTGGGATTGTCGAAGACATCAAGCAGGAAATATCTCGTTATATCTTCGTTTTATATCGGTTATAATTTACTGTATATGAGTGTATGTTTTAGAAAAACATCGTGGGATTGATGAAGACACCAAGAAGAAAATATTTCCTCGTATTTCTTGCATACTTCAAATTGCGTTAGAATATAAGTAAAAATGTATATAGATTATAAGATAAAAAAGCGTTCTCCAGGGTTTGATTAAAAATACTAGTGAAACGTGTGCGTAAATTTAAATGCGAATAATTAATATTAAGGGACATATTGGTATTCTAATATGCAAGGTCCATAAGTGCAGTTGCACATTTCTGGTTGGATCTTCAGTATCTCATTAGGCACTGTCATAATAAAAGCATCCATTTCTGAAGGAACAATAATAAAGTACATATTGGTACTTTAATAATCAGGATTCGTACGTGCAGTTGCACATTCCAATTTTGTTTTTAAAAAACATGTGATTGGTTATTTCACATGTATCATTTTATTAGGTTTTTGATCTCTTCGTCAGAGTTCGTACGTGCGGTTGCACATTCCAATTTCGTTTCTAGAAAACATGTGTATCATCTCACATGTATTGACATTTCGTTAGGTTCTTCGTCTCTCGATTGGGCAGTTCTTTTAAGAACTCTCCTTTCGTAGTTCGTTTCTAACTTTTCGATAGTTTCTCCCTTCGATAGGTATTCGAATTCCTCGCCAAAGGAAGGGTGGTTGGGGCGAGGCTAGGGTGGGTCTCCATTCGCAGCAACCTCCTCGTGGTGAGACCCGGGTCATATTATTTACTATGTAATTAATATAATTATTAATTGCATAGTAAATAATATGAGCTAATGGCTGCGTTCTTCTTATAGTTTCACGTACTTTCTTTGCCCCGGTGTGCGGTCTGATAACATCGATTTCGAGTCGCAAATACGTTTTTGTAACAATTCTTAACAATGTGTGATATATGAATAATGAAAGGGCCCATCAGTATGCGTAAATAATAATTTTTCGTGAAATAATTTGTCCACCGGACGGATTGAGATGGCCGACACACGTTGCGCTCTCCCCACTCCTCGGTCACTACATTAAAAGCTCATGTGGAGACTTATATCTCATTCTCTCGGGGGACTCCAAGGGTGGCGGAACCCCTGGCTTGGTGGGTATCTCGGGATCATCCTAGACTGACCAGTGGCGACCAGGGAGACCACTACTGATCGATACTGACCACTACTGACCATTACTGACCAATGCTGACCAGTGGTGAGAATACGATGACCAATAGTATGTCCCGTGGGTCATTATTATTTACTATGTAATTAATTTTATCGCTTGTTACATTAATTACACAATAAATAATATAAGCTAATGGCTGCGATCTTCTTCTAATACGTTCTTCAGAAACTATTCCATTTGTCGTAACGATCGACAAAAATATTTTATTGCTAGCTTTTCCTAAAAAATTCAGATACAGTCGTTGAATAGAGATCGATTCAGGTTTGGATCACTTTCTAAGTAACTCTCGGCATACCTAGTTTTGTTTTTCACCGTGAACGGCGTTAAATTCTTATTCCATACTAAATCAATAACGTTGAAATGGCAAGGAAGTTTTCGTCTATTCTACAGTTCCCAGAGTCTTTGAAAAAAATGTCCCATCGAACCTAACCAGTCTGCCCTATGCTTCGTTTGCAAATTTATTTATATTAGTAATATTAATTCATGCATAGAAGTTTCTCGTAACTCCATCTCGAGCAAACTCCAATAATGTGTATTGATTTTTTTTTCTAATTTTCACAATATGTTACAATGTATACGATATAATGCATCGTAGATGTTGGAAAATACTGGGCTTATTTTTAACCGTAAATAACTAATATAACAGCGAATAAAAAATAAAATATATTCGTCTCGTAAAGGCAGGTTAGATTTTCACGACGCATGCGTCTGGTAGTTGTGCATTGTGCATCAAGGATAACACACGTACAGGAAACATCGGAAGAAGCGGTACGTTATTCTCGGTTTATCGGCGAATCGGGTTATCTGTCCGGGTTAGGTCTGGCTACATAACCGAGAACGATTAGCTGGTCTGTTTTATGCAATTACTATTTACGTTTGTTGTTTTAATATGCGACGGCGACGAGTTCGGACGTGTTACAGCACCGATCGTTACGTTTCGAGGAATCAGGAAGTGTGAATGAAGAAAAATACTCCACGGAAAACATGCGTTTGGTCGATAATTCGTTAGTGAGCTGTGTGGACAGCTTGAAACCATAGCAATAATGATTGATACGTGCTATCTTTTGCTCGACTATGAGTCGTGTAAAGTCGATAACGTAATCAGTTCTCTGCACTTCAAAGAACGTATATACGTTTCAGAAACGGTGTTGCTGTTATCGTTAAACAATCCAGTGCATCGACGAAACGTATTTCGCGATGAAGGCGACAAATTCAATAGAGTAGTGTTCGTGAAAACAGAATTTTATTCGTGTAAGATGAAGAAGAGGTTGCTGTTATGCTTTGTTTGTGCTGTCGTGCTTTTCTTGATCGTGATTTCGTCCGACAGTGATTTTATTCAAGACTTATCACCGTTTGTGAAAGTCAGTGATATCACGTGTTACGAGGGCGAGAATGCACCGAACTTTCTTCCGAGGTTTGATCCGGATTCAGGTACGTTTCGTTGGCTAAATAATTAGTGAAATTTTAGTCGCATCCAAGTGTCTCCTTTACCTTAAACGTATCCATTAAAAATCCAGCAAGTCAGATACCAGAGTTATGATATCAGAGAGAATTTCCAGCTAGCGAACAGAACGTATTTTCGTGTATCATAGATAAACGATATTTGCCTCGGTGTTATCCAGATTAGACGCGCCTTTCAAATCGATGCACGCACATCCTTGCACACGTATATTAACCCATTTGTATCATGACCCTACTTAATGTGCCGTGAACTTAATGTTCAACTGACGAATGGTCCGTATCACCGCGTGTGGTCGATCGTAGGTGCAGTACATGACACCAGAATTGTTCATGAACTTTATTGAAAATAAGATAATAGCATTCGTCTGTATCATACATGTACATAGATTATCCAACGATAAATATTATGTAACTTCGTTCCATGAAAAAACTTTTATCATTGATGCCTAGAACAATGTAACAATTCACAATTTTTATCACGTATTTTTGTTATGTACAATTCCTCGGAAATGATTATTCAAAGTAAACGTTGGAATTTTATCTTTATAATAAAACGATTTTCTTTCGTTTCCGTTTAGTTTTGTGTATCTTAAACACGATTTTAAGGACTCGAATGGAAACAAATTGGGTCTGTATCAATTATTTTTGCGCGATTTGTGCAAATAGACTGTGTTTATGCATACGAAGGATGTCTGAATCCGTTAGACGTTAATTTTAATGAAATTTGGCAATGGAATCTTTCTCTCTTCTCTTTTTCTATTAATTAGTAGAGAGATAACTAGAAACTGAGCGAGCGAAAGGGGGAAGGGAAAGAGGTCAAGATAAAGCGATAGTGATAAATGCTCTTCGATGTTCTGTTCCAGAATCCAAAAAATTTAAAAAGGACCGGAATATATTCTTCCACGAGACGACTTGTTTCGACGGCGATGGTCTGGTTTTGAACGCACGTCAGGCGTGCGCCGTCGAGTCGGCGGCCAAGATGAACCCGAACACGAACGTGTATCTGCTTTTCATATCCTCCGCGAGGATCTCCAATCAATCGAGGGAGATTTTTAATCATCTGAAATCTTATTCGAACGTTAAGATCAGATACATTCTTCCTGAGGTGTACGTGAAAAATACACCTTTGGAATTATGGTACAAGAGCGGTATACTACGAAAAAGTCGATGGCCGACAAGTCACATGTCGGACATGCTCAGATATTTAACCCTTTGGAAATACGGAGGAATATATTTGGATCTGGATGTTGTTGTCACAACGTAAGCACGTTTATAGACGTTTTAGAGATACACCTTTTTGTAGAAAGTGATTCTCGATGTAAAGGCGAATGAAAAATGTAGAATGAAATTTTGACAAATAACTAGGATCAAGAAAATTCGAGGAAGATATTTTGTCGACGAAGCAATTGTTAAAACTATGTAGATATTGTATGAAAAGACGATCCCCTATTTGTAACTACATGAATTACCGGTGACTTGTTGGCAACGTAACCGTTTTTTTTAAAAAAAGAAACCGTTCAACAGATCGCTAGAGAGTTTAACGAACTTCGTCGGAGCAGAAGATTGGTTCGACGTTGCTGCTGGTGTGATGGGATTCGATATGACGGCACTGGGTCGTCGTGTCGCCGACGCTTGTATTCGCGATTTGAAGACACACTTTCGTGGTAATATTTGGGGCAACAACGGTCCTGGTGTTATCACCAGGACTTTGCAAAATATTTGCTCTACGAAATATGTGAGTAATTGGCGGCAAAATCGACCCGAAACAAAGCGAGCCGGCGCGGCGATCACGCGGCTAAGGGCTCAGGCACAAGTGTACTCTCTTCTATTTAGCGGTCGCTGGCGAGATATTTTAAGAAGATACGTTTTTATCGTAATCTAATGAATTATGAAGAAGTGACAAATTTCCAGAGGATACAAGTTTCGATACAAGCAATGGGTTTACGCCGTCGTTGCATCGAAACTTGTATCGCGACAAATATCAGCGTCAGTAGGCCGCTTTAAATATAAGATCGTCTTAAGACGACCTTCGGCAATGTTTAAGCATTCCTTAGGCACGTCTTGAGAAGATCTTATATTCAAGTAACGACTATGAATACCAGCCAAAGTGTTTTACAATTATCGGTCTGTATTTATCTATAATTGCAGTCTCAATATGGTACGTGAGCACTTATTCATTGTCTTTTGTAGGTCCGAGATATGACCACCGCTCGCTGTCACGGTTTTAAGGTGTTTCCTCCGTCGACATTTTACCCGATTCACTATAAAAAATGGAGAATGTACTTCGAAACAAAGGATATGAACGAAACGATGAAGATGTTGGAGAAAGCCATGGTCATTCACGTTTGGAACAATCTCAGTAAATACGAGGAAGTGCGCGTAAACAGTGACGTTCCTTACGCCGTCATCGCGCGGAAATATTGCCCAAAAGTTTTTAATAATTGCAGGACGATATTTTAAACACTCGAATGATTATTTATTTATGCATCATTGAACACACAACTTTTACACTTTGCCAAAATATTGCTATTATTATCTTTTAAAGGACTACAAAATTCTATCGAAGAGATTTATTTCTCTCGTCAAACAGCTATTTGGTATTTATTCCACATCCGTCTTTGTAAAATAGAATTACATCATCCACGAGGCATGCAGCAATTAGCATCTGTGTTTTCTAGTCTTAATGATTTCTACGACCATGAATAAAATCATTGTACATAACAATTGAAAACTAAGTGATTTTTTAAATTCGAATCATTAAATTCTAAAAGTTTTTAAATTTTTAATATAGTCTAGATGATAAATGTATAACCATTATTGTAAATAGACTTATTTTTAATAAAATAGTTGTAACTAATAAATAAAGTCGAATGTTTTGGAATAATTGTCTTCTGCATTAATGGTGCATATAATTAATAATGGCATTTTTCAGTTCCTCTTTTTCTCGCTCTTTTTTTCGGTATGTGTTATCGGTTGCCGCCCATCTCGTTCCATCAAGTTTAGATAAAACCACAGACAAAGTATACAATTTACGTGATCGTATAGCTGGTATGTGATAAGACCAATCGTCGCTCTGTTGGCTAAATCAACTTCTTGCTATCTTTCTCAGTGCACTGCATTGCCGGCAGATAGATAAAGACACTGCAGCCGTATAACATTTCCGAGTCAGCAGGTCGTGTGAAAATTGAACCATTTTTATGGGGTTATTCTCACTTTACGGGATTAAGGAGTAACTTTTCGAACGGCCTTGGAATTTCTAAATATTCCGCGCCAAAATACGCGTTGTTTGCATTTTGAAACATTAAAATCGTCCAATCCGTTCGGGAATTATGATTTTTTAAACGTACGCATGACATTTCGGTGAATCATTTCTGGCCACACATTATATTTTCGGCAAAGAATTTTTTTTCTCGAAAATGCGTAGGAATTCAGGGGTATGTCTATTCACCAAAAATGATTGTAATTGACCCCTCCGACTGAAAGTAATTTTTCCAGAACGATTTGAAATTTTTTAATTTTGTCGAAAAATTTGTCCACATACTCGAATTTTTTTCTCGAAAGTGCGTAGGAATTCGAGGGTATGTCTATTGACCAAAAATGATTGTAATTGACCCCTGCAACCGAAAATAATTTTTTCAGAACGATTTAAAATTTTGTTTTTCGCCGAAAAATTTAGGCACCTACCACCTGTCGATTTTTCTTAAAAATTCGTCTTTCATTTTTAATAAATTTGTGGGTATTTATAGTTGACTCAAGTCTTGATACCAAAGTGCTGATAAAGAGGAGTACCAAGCGTGCTCAACAGGAAAAGATAGAGGGGTATCATGTGTAAAAGGAGTTTCATAGATAGTAAAAGATATCGGGCTATAATTGGATGCATAGCATAAGGCTATTGGCAAAGAATATTCCAATGACATAATTAAAACTTATCAGGAGTCATGATTGTACCGTAATTGCAGCACTTTCCTTAAGGAACAATTTAAATCTGATTTCTCGCTGCGATATCAGAAAGTTAGACGAAATCGTGTTAAGTGGTTTTAATTACTTAGAAAACTTTGGCAGTTCCCGTAAGTTTCCACGTCGCTCGACAGTAGAGTAGGATGCACCTGAGAATGCAAGCTATTTCATCCCTTACCCTTTCTTCTTCCCTCGACTACTTCCGATGATGCCTGTGTTCTTATCTTTGGGTAACCGAATATTCCTTCGTTCAATTGATTAGTGGATTTCCGTAATTAATTTGCATTTAGAGAAACATTAACTAAAAGTCGCTACTAATAACCCTTTGCACTCCGTTGGTTCCGTTGCAGAGTGCAAAGAGTTAAGTAATATATGTAGTAATATATTTAGCATGTGTCAATGTCACGTTAGAAAATAATGATGGAATATTTGAATTTCCCGCTGAAAAGATATGGCGCGGTTATCAAGGTTACGGTACAGACTGACCGAGCTACGCGAACTGTCTGAACTTAGTTACAGATCGAAGTTTCTAGTTTATACGCGTGGCCGCCATTTTGATTTAGTCAGTGGTGTACAACGTACAACAGTACAAGTGGTCTGTGAATTTTTATATTTCATTCTGCTCAGCACGTATTGATAGTGTGTTTAATGGGAAATAAGTACACGGTTTACCATTTTATAAATGAAGTGTAAATATATGAGGTTACATATTGTATACTAACCTAAAGTTCTTTGCTTCGTTATGAACGTATGAATAATTGTGAAATTTTTCCTGTACATAGAAGTAAGGTTAAAAACAATTTTTTGGAATTAATTGAAAGTAAGCAATATTGCCTTTCATTTCATTTTATTTAATAAAATAATGAACACAATTGAGCGAAGAATAAGTAATTTCCTGAAACATATGTTTGTTAATATTCCGTGATTGTAAGGTTATTTCTGATACACGTATGTGGTTTGACTAAATGCAAACAATTTCTCAAGGGGAATATGGCTCGTGTCTTCATATATGAACGTCATATTGACGCTGTCCTAACAAATACTCTGTTTTATGACAAACTAAATGTAAGTATCATTTGGAACGTAATGTAGCAATAAGAATTTGATTGTGATTAGTAATACCTTTGGTTTGCATATATATTACTTAATGTTATATGTTTCAATACATATACCTACTTTGGAGTTGTAAAATATAGCACTTCTGTGCTAATGCTGTAATAGAAAATAAATACTAGATAATCGATAGGGATTGTACGGTAGAAATCAAATTGCAAATATATGATTTTTAAGTTGTCTTTATTAAACTTAAAATAAAAATATAAGAATGGAATTTAACTCTTTGAATGTGCTTTAAACTGTTATAACTAAATTTTATTACATTTGTACAAAATGTAATTATAATTAAAGTACAATGATTATAAAAATTAAAATATGGTATTTCTATTAACTCTGTTGTCAAATTTCATTTTCATTTTTTATTAGAATAGTTGTATCCATTTTTCGTATTTCACCAAATACATTTTTTTTACCAAATTACAGCTTAAAAAGATATTATTACTTCTGTGATTTTTGGTTATTTTAAGCGCAATAGTTAAGTACGAAACATATTCATGACTACTTTCTTAGCTTCTTAGCTGGAAAGTATAATCGAAGAAAAAGATATTTGTGTGCCGTAATTCGGAATAACGGCCCGATGATGGCTATGTACATACAATGGCCCATTGACTAGAAGTCTCCCGGTACGGGCGGACTTGCATTGCTATCAGGGGACTTGTTTTCAGTGGAACACAGTACATAGTCCCTACCCAAAACAGTGTATTACATATATTCTGAATGTTCTCTGTTCGTTCTGACCGGATATGAAGCGTACATTCGTGGCCAGCGATCGTAATTGCGCGGTTTATGGATACGTTCGTAAGATGGAAGCAAGTGATTACGTTTTGCTTGAGACACTATTGCCACTGAAACAATAAAAAATACTGTCCATCAGGCCGCCATTGCGTCACAAAGATGCGACCGTCGGCACCTTTATTATCTCATGCATCTTGAACTATACGCCTTTTTTCATGATAATTATGTTGTTTGTACTATTACAAACATTGTAAGGCATACATTAGAAGCAAAATTATTAATCGTAATAGTGCGAGGCGCGGAACTTGTTAAAGTTAAAAAGGAATGGAGAGAACGTTTTGTTCTGGGCCTGCTAGTGGACTCGTTGGTATTAAACAACCTAGCAAGCTTTGCTTTGGACGCCGTGTCGGGACATTCGATGGTCGGTCGAATTCGAAGGACTTGAATCAAATTCGGTTAAAATTGCTCTCCTTATTCGTCAACGTTTATGGTAGATAATCTACTGTTTCGGTAATAACTGAAAATTACAAAACTTTAATATTACTTTATTTGAAAATGGAGACGAACCGCGCCGGTTGCAAAGAAAATTACATAAAAAAATTAAAGCGACAGTTGGGACTTACCCACTTTAGCGAAATCCATGAATACAATTAACAGCAACCAGTAGCAGCTGTATTTTACAACTGCGATATTTTTAAAACTTTAAATATTGCTTGGTTACAATCATACGCGATTTAAGAATGTTAAGGTTCATATATTTTTTTCAGTATTTTCAACATGGGAAAAAGATTAAAGAAGAGGCACCTGACTATAATACTTACGATCACGATGATTCGTCAGTTAGTAACACACGCGCAGTGACTAAAATTCAGTCAACAGTATTAGAAGATAAATTTTCTAATTCGACAAATAATAAGGAAAATGAAGACACAAAATCGGATCTGAATGAAGAAACACGGGAATCTAAACGTGTAGGTAAACATTTTTCACCAGAGGAAGAGGAAGAGAGCGATGATAGTATACCTTTTAAGCGCAACAAAAAATTAGAACACTACATAGAGTGTGATGTGTGTTTTTTACATTTTGAGAGTGAACTTGACATGAAAATTCACAGGGTACACTATGATGCATCTCTTAAGTGTACCTGTGATATTTGCAAAGCAGTATTCCAATCAGATCACATGTTAAGTCGACACAGAAAATACTGTATAAAGCCGCAAGATTTTAAGAAACCCTTCCGTAAAAGATATGTTTGCCACCTTTGCGGGAGAAAATTTCCAGAGAAATACAGACTACAGGCTCATATATGTCATTTGCACGAAAACGAAGAATATAATGCATCGATGAAAACTATTAACTACCACATAACAAATTCTGGCACTAGTAAAATTAAACACGATGTACTTAAGGAAAACACTAACAATCAGGTAGCAAACATTGACAAAGCAGGGAGGCTGAAGAGTCTGAGCGACTCACCAGTAAAAAGGTTGAGGCAAACCACTCTTGTAGAATTCCTTTCTTTCTTTAATAAGAAACAAAAAGAGTGCATTAACTCGGAGAAAGTTTCTTCCACAAAGAAGACTGATGTTATTCATAGACAAGATAAAATAAGCGAAATAAATTCATCATCTACCGAAGTAAACATGCCTAGAAAAATTGAAAGTTCTACCTGTATTCCGTCTGTAACGATTCATCCCACCGATAAAACACCATTTGTACAAATTCACGTGAATACCTACACTATGGAGGCCTTGTTAAATGATGAAATAAAAACTGAACCAGAAGATTCCTACAGTCCTACTACTTCGCACAATACATTTTACAATCTAAGACGAATAGGAAGGGGAGATAGTAACCGGTCGTCGGCTACATTAGATAGCGGACTTGGCGCGGAATCATTTAACAATGAAAGATTTATTGTTACACGCAAACGAAAACGGATGAATGTACTATCGTACGAACAAAAGCTGAAATCAAAATTCAAATGCAAGGAGTGTGTAATTTATTTAGAGAGGTGCGATCAAATTCTGAATGGTTTCGATAAATCTGAATGTATGCTTAACGTCGACACGATAAAAATAGAAAAAGATAGTGAAAATGCTGAATCAACGAGCCCAAGTAAACTAATATTGAAGACTTTGGAAGTGCCACTAGTGAGAGTGAAGGAACCCGTTGAAATTGAAAGTGACGAATCGCCAACATACGTAGAAGAACCAGACGTAACCAATGTTGATATCGGATCTAGCCGTAACGATGTATTACCATGCAAAATTTGTAAAAAATCTTTTCCTTCAGAGGTCATGCGTAAACACTTAGAGGTATGTCACACGGTGTACATGTCAAGTATATGTAACGCCCGTTACACGACCAGAGGTAAATTGTTGAATCATTATCTAAATCAACACATAGTTTTTAAACGAAAGGAATGCTGCGTTTGCTACGAACAATTTAGTACATCTGTGACGCTAAAGTCACACATGCTTTTACATTGTCTCAAAGCCATACGATCGGAAAATGACAGTCTGCCGATCGGTCGTAAAATTAAGTGTAACGCGTTTAAGAAACAATATCGGTGTAATCCGTGTGGTAAACGATTTTGGTTGAACTCGTGTTTGAATCATCATCAGAAGGTGTGTTCCTGGATGAAAAAAGCTAGGAAGGGAGAACAGCAAGTACCTCGCGTGAAAACCTCTTCGTCTTTTGTGGAAGAAGAAAACACAGGCGAATGTGAAAGTAGATCGCTTGTCATTGGCAATACGACACCCACAATAAATTCGTTTCAAAATACTTGTAGCCCTTCTTCTCTTTCCGCATCTCAAACAAAGACACCCAATCTCAAGACTCAAGACTCAAACCCATCACAGACACGATCAACTGCAAATCCAAAAAAGTTAATCAATAGTATCGTATGCGTAAAGGGTTATCAAGTTGATGTAACTGGCATGGACAGAATAAAGTTTCCCTGTTTAGTATGCGACAAACAATTCCAAACGTTTCAGAACTTGTGTTTACACGAACGTACCTATCGCAAACCACCCGATAGTCCGTGTAACGTTTGCGGTACTGTATTTACTACTAAGAGACTTTTACAACTTCACACGCTTGCGACTCACACACACGCCTGTTCGTCGAGATACAAATATTTTTGCAAGTTTTGCAATCAGGGTTTTATTAGAAAGTCGAATGTTCAAGTTCACGAACGTCACTTCCATATTACACAGAACGTTGTACCATCCACATTGGAGAACGATGATTCTGTTTGGAACATAAATACTGAGTGCCGTATCTGCAATTTGATGTTCGAATCTTACGATCGTTTCATCGAGCATAACAAATACTATTATAGAGGTCAAGTTTTTACATGCACATTTTGCGGCGAATCGTTCGAAGGAATGTACATACTTCATAATCACAACAAAACGGTACACTATACAGAGGCTATGCGTAATTCGTACACTTACAAATGCAATATTTGTAACGAGGGCTTTAAGCAGAAGTCTCATTTCCACGCGCACAAGTTCCACGTTCATTTAGAGGATATGAAAACCAGCGAGGATCACAGTTACGCGTTGAGAGTCAGCAATGTTGACACGCACATAAATGTACCATTAACGGTGTCTTCTTGCAAGATCTGTTCCGCGGAATTTACCAATAAAACGGATCTACGGATACACGAAATGGAATATTCCGTCGATGGTGACTTTCAGTGTGCCAAATGCGACAGGAAGTGTCGTACCGTTGACATTCTTAGCAAGCATGACAGTTTAACCCATAATAATTGTCTCATCGGCAATTATTATAAATGCCGTTTTTGCGAAGAGGTGTTAACGACAAGTGTATCGTTGTCATGCCATGAAAAACATTTTCACGCGAGCATCTCGTCTTCTTTGGAGAGCAGCCAGAACGCGTATGGTCCATTAGATGCGAATCATGAAGCTGGTGACAAGGCTGTCGACAAATTTCACGACAGATCGAGCAACATTAAGTGTTCGACTTGCGGTATGAGATTCAACGACGAGGCAAAGTTACAGGATCATTTATTAGAGTACTCTGATGTTGGTGCGTATGCGTGTGATATTTGTCAGCGAAAGTTTACGGAGTTACATCGATTGGAAGTGCATAGAGTGAAACATTCAAAGTTAAGTTATCATTTGTCCAAATGTCACTGCCCTATATGCCACGAGGGATTCCCGGATGCTCCTAGTGTCCGAATGCACACGTTACACTTTCATGGGTATGAAACATTTTCAAGTGCCCTTATTAGATACGACGATAAGAAGGACGACGATAATCAAGAGAGCCAGTTTAATCCTCTTATAGACGAACCGGATAAATTATCTAATCCTTCCATTTTGTCCTCTACAAATCAATCGCAAGGAGGCTCTTTTAAATGTTCCGAGTGTGACGTAGCATTCAATTCTCAAAGTAATTTACGTAAACATAGATCACGGTTCGTGAATACCGGTAACTACGTATGCGAATATTGTGGCCGTAAGTTTCCTTGGTTGACATTATTTAAGGCTCATGTAAATAAACACTCTGCCGCGGATGGTTATTTGAAGCATAAATGTTTTCATTGCAACGAACAATTTCGGTATCCTTTTTCAAGGTACTCGCACATTATACACATTCACGGCAAGGATAAAGTAAACGTTCAAACCACTGACACGAATAGATCGGATGATAATAACACCAAGTTATCGTTAGATCGTTCCAAAGTTGTTTTTGATACTCCTGTTACCGAGCTGACCGACGATTTCGAATATGACCAGCTTTCACTTCCCTCTGCAACATGCTCGCCTGAAGTTTGCGACAATAGAATCGAACCGGACGTTATAACGAATTCCGTAGACGAGTCTAACGGCGAACAGGAAGTATCGTCTTCCACGGTAGACAATATGCTAAACGATCCGTACACGGTTCAAGATAACGACGGTTCAAAGAATGTCGAAGAGAAGATAAACTATTATACATGTCCTATATGCAATCTATTGTATCCGACTTTGAAGAGATTCGAGTTGCACTTAAAGGTGACGCATAGAAGCTTATTTCAGAAAATAGTAAACGATACATTACCATCCACGAAAGCGAACGTCATTACTTGCATGGTCTGTGACTCTACTTTTGCCGAAGAATGGAAGTTCATGGAACACGTACGGAACACACATCCATCCCTTTTATCGACTGGTCATAGTATGGCGAAGGAAGTTACCCCTCTCCCTACTGCACCAGATGATTCCGATGCATTAGAAATCGTTTGGGAAAAGGAATCATCTGCTGTTACAGAACACCATCCGAAAATTAAAGGACCTAACAATTCAGACGTCCAGGCACTATACGAAAGTTACTTTGGTCCTATAGTCACTTATGTTGGAAGTTTAGCCCCATCAAATGTATCCAAGCTAACTCCCGATGTTTGTAAGCTGAAAGTCAAGTCGTTTGCGAAATTGAATTAAACGAATCTTAAGGTAATGCTTTCATATCAAAGGTTTACTTACTACATGACCGAAGACTTGAGATTGTTTAACTATTACGAATTACTTGGCACTCGTAAGTATTACTTTATGATCGATTTAGATGTAATAAAACGAGATAAATTGCCAAAAAGATCTGTAGCTATAACATTGTGTACGAAAGATTATGTTGCGTTGAGTTTGCGAAAACATGACGTTTAAATAATTGTTACTATACCGTTTGAAATCGAAGCCTAAGTGTAGTTTGTATACGATAAGGTGTATCCAAATTTTTAATAATTAAAGTATTATCATTTACCGTATTAATTGCAAGTTCGATTCATCCATTACTTTTAATAACTCGAGTATCTGTATCTAATTTCGTTTGCGTTAATAGAAGGTAGTATTTCCGTTTTGTATCGTTCTGTATTGTTTATACGCGCGACGTACCTTTCCATTCCTTAATAACGTTTATTTATTTATACGATTAGAAACATATTTTAGTATTATAGAAAATACTGTTTACCCCGAATAAATCTTTTACCTTGATCGTATTTTATTATCAGGATTAAGTTATGCATTCTGTAATGAATGTTATTAAAGAATAAGTACTATGCGTCCGTGTTTAAGTTCAGTAGTTATGTTGACAAATATTAAGGCTCGTAAACTTTTTGCTTACAAGCAGAGTACAACTTTAAATCGGTCGAGTATCGTGAAACAGTGTCCATTCCCGATAAGTTAAATACCAACGTGGTAGTGGGATGTATGATTCTTATAGAAACACTTATTTTTACGATATTAACACTAGATTTACGGGCATTGATCACACGTATATTTATTGATACCTTTCATGTTGACGATTACCATACAATACGATTTTTCTTTTAATTAGAATATGTATTCATGCCAGTGCATCAATCAAATTCACCATAAGTTGTTAAAAAATAATATTTACGCATTCTGTAATTTTAAATATGGAATCAGACACCCGTCAAATTGACGGTTTCCGTAAATCTAGTGTTAATTATAACGCAAAAGGAAATTCGAAGTGTAATCTGTTTACGTTAAGCCTTTTTATTTAGTACGCGTACGTTATATCGCCGCAGGTGGTTCCGTGGGGGGAAGGAAATTGTTGGAAACGGTGATACAATAGAAATTGCGAAGAAGCGAATTGCTCACTCGTCAAGTCCACATTATACCGTGGCGGGAGAAGTTGAACAGGCGGCGGTATAACACGACTACCGTACAATTGTCGATTTTATGTTTTCTTAATGATTTTGATAAACATTATTAATATTTATTGGCTCCGAGAACATTTTAAATTATAGCTTAAGTTCGGAGTCATATAAATAGTCTGATTGATTTATAAAAATCGCGAAACGTTCGAGACGTGCACCAATTTTTAACGAGTTGGAATTTTTCGTTTTGCACAGTTTTTTTTTATATCGACTATATAATACTATGTTTTTCAGCCAAATGTTCACAGTGTTATAAAAAGTCCCTGAATAAATGAATCGTACCGTTTATTGTTTTATTTTTACATTTTTTACCTTCGAACTTGATCTTTGAATCCGCTGAAACTTGAGAACGTTTAAGGTGTTACCAACGGTTTAATACAAATGGTCCTGAGCTAAATATTAATAGCCGGCCGTTGGATAAAATTAGTTTGGAATGTATTCGACAGTTTTGGGTTAACTCGGATTGTGTGACCACAATATCGATTTATCGATATCCATCGAATCTTTCGATATGTTCAGTCTATTCGAAATTAACGAGATACAAGAGATTTTGGGTTAACGCCAAAGCTATCCGTTAGAGATTAACTCTGCTATCTACCGAAATTTTCAAATTTAAGCTTTCACGATCGAACTGTATTCGTAACATTACAAATAGAAACACGCAATGTACACGTTTCACTTTAATATGCATTATGCAAATTAAAAACTTTCGACTCGGTACGGGAACCGGCCGATTCAAACATTGAACGTCAATGGACGCTTTTCGCTTTGTGTACCGTTATCTGCTACGATTTTAGTTGTCGTTCCACGATTGGATGAGATTTCGTGAAACCGCATTTTATAAGCGGAAAAACGGATTGATTTCTATCGCATCGTGAACATACGGTAATCGTTATAGTTGTGCGTGGTAGGTTAATAAATTATCATGGAGGTAGGTGCATATATGTAGACAATATCTATGTTTACCGTATACTTTTTTAGAATATTGACATCGTATTTGTGTGCTTCTCAGTGCGATCGATACACTTTAAACATTGAGTGGAATTAGCAGAGTGGATGGTACGTATACAGTTGTTAAGTATCCTTAACCTTTGTCATTTAATTCACATTAATTAAAAGAGAAGATAATAAAATAATCTTAATTTCAATAGTGAGCTATATGTATGTTGAGATCCAACACAGGTGGAAAAGGGTCACGGTGACCATCGCATTTCGAGCTCGTGATTGTTCTTTCGTTTAATAAATTATAAACCCCGGTCAGCTTTTGAACACATTTTCGTGTTACGAAATGATACGATATCAATATTGCAGTGTACGGTACATGTACCCATACAACATTCGACAAAGCATTCTAACCCGACTGACATTATTACGATAATATACAGGGTGAGGCATTTTAAACAGGTCACCTGAATAACTCGCTTGTTTTTGAAGATAGGAGAAAATGCATTAGACCAAACTTATTTGGTATCGGGGGGCTCATAATCTGGTATTACCAATTTTTTTGTAGGTGGAGGCGTCAAGGAGATATGAAGGTCAACTTTGTTTTTTTAAATGGAACAGTATATTTTATTACTTACATTCTGATAGAGTGTTTCAAGGCGAATACAATGACCTATTATTAAGGTCATTCAAGGTCACCCAAAGTCAACTGCAATAGAAAATAAATTGTGTCAGAGTACATTTCGAATACTTGTGTATCACGTGTGTGTATTGCGTGACACGGGTCACAAAAGATAAACAAACATTCAATCACATTGTACGCTTATCCGTATCCTCAAACATTATTGGTAATTTTACTACCGACTAGAGCACAGCTTCGTAACATTTATTCAGTCTAAGTGTTTAGTTTTCTAAAATGCGTTACACGATAGCAGAGAAAGTAGAAATGGTTCTTATTTATGGTGAATGTCATAGAATTATGAGGGAAGCGGTACGTGTGTATAGTGAAAGATTTCCCGATCGTAATAATAGACCTTCACTTTCTGTCTTTACAAACATTATAAAAAAGTTCCAAGAAACTGGAACTGTGGATAACAAAACACGTAATCTTGCCAAACGAGCAACTGATGATGGAAACTCGATAAATATTGTAGCAGCTGTAATACAAGATCCACATGTTAGTACAAGACAACTGGAACGCGAAAGTGGCATCAGTCAACGAAGTATTTTACGAATATTACACATTAACAAATTTCATCCGTTCCACATATCACTTCATCAACAATTAACTGAAAATGATTATACAAAACGTTTACAATTTTGTGAATGGGGCTTACAAAAACTACAAGACGATGAAATGTTCTTGAGTAAATTGTTATTTACCGATGAGGCCACATTTACAAACCATGGAGCAATTAACCGTCACAACATGCACTACTGGTCGGTAGATAATCCACGATGGTTGAGAGAAGTCGACAAACAGAGACCTTGGTCTGTAAACGTCTGGTGCGGTCTTCTTCATAATAAAATAATTGGTCCATATTTTATTGATGGCACGCTAAATAGTAGTAAGTACCTGAGAATCTTAGAAGACGTTTTGCCAGAATTGTTAGAAGACACTTCACTGGACATACGACAATCCATGTGGTTCCAGCAAGACGGATGCCCTGCTCATTCAGCACGCAATGTTACAGAATTTCTAAATAGAAAATTTGGAGATTCTTGGGTAGGTCGATCAGGAAGTAACAAATGGCCGGCACGATCCCCAGACCTGACACCTCTCGATTTTTATTTGTGGGGAAAATTAAAGGCAGAAGTGTACCGCGAAAAACCAACTACCAAACTTGACATGCAAGAACGTATAAGAAGAGCTTGCTCTGTAATAGATACAAATGAAATTTGCCAGGCAGTGTCATCAGTATTGCAACGATTTAGACTATGTATCCATGTTCAAGGTCGCCATTTTGAACACTTGTAATAGCAGTATCAAAGTATCCAAGTGTTCGAAGAGTGCTTTGACACAATTTATTTTCTATTGCAGTTGACTTTGGGTGACCTTGAATGACCTTAATAATAGGTCATTGTATTCGCCTTGAAACACTCTATCAGAATGTAAGTAATAAAATATACTGTTCCATTTAAAAAAACAAAGTTGACCTTCATATCTCCTTGACGCCTCCACCTACAAAAAAATTGGTAATACCAGATTATGAGCCCCCCGATACCAAATAAGTTTGGTCTAATGCATTTTCTCCTATCTTCAAAAACAAGCGAGTTATTCAGGTGACCTGTTTAAAATGCCTCACCCTGTATATGTGCCTCGATAATGTGACACGCGACGCAGTATAATATTGTCGACGACCTGTGACATGCTTCTGTTATCCTGCTATCCTCCACCCACGTTATTTCCATCTTGGACCAAATGAAATTGGTGTACCGCATTTTCCGTTCGCTATACAGGGTGTTCGGCCATCCCTGGGAGAAATTGTAGTGGGAGATTCTTGAGGCCAAAATAGGACGGAAATCAAGAATACCAATTTGTTGATGGAGGCTTCGTTAAAAAGTTATTAACGTTTAAAGTTCCGCCCGTATTGGATTTTGTTCTCGAAAACACGCAGGAATTTAGGGGTATGTCTATTGACCAAAAATTTTTTAATTTAATTTTGTTAATAACTTTTTAACGAAGCCTCAGTCAAGAAATTGATATTCTCGATTTTCGTACTATTCTGGCCTCTAGAATCTCCCATTAAAATTTTTCCCAGCGGTGGCAGAACACTGCATAACTTGCGACATCAAGCATTCTTTAATATTTAATATCGAAATGGAACTTTAACATCTTGGAGATTTAGAACTTGCATGCAGTGTAAAATATTGATACTTTCGATACATTATAGAATTTAGACCGCATGCCTTCTATTGCTTGATATCATTTCTGATCACATTTTTGTTTATCTTTTCAGAGACGATTCGAGTGGGCAGCTGACTCTGATTCTG